GTATAAATGGCAATTTAACACCTTAGAAGGAGTTTACTCCCCTTGGAGATGAGTTTATGGCCCAAGCATGTTCTTGGGCAGTAAACTCATGTTTACTCCTCTAAATTGATGTTCAAGGTGTTCCAAGTCTAGTTCCATAATTCTACAAGTCATATCTAAGCCTCAAATGTGTTTTGGAAGGGTTTAAGGGCATAAATACCCCCTTTATATGTGTTTACGGCCCAAGCATGCTCCAGGGCCGTAAACACGTGAACAAGGTCCTAAATCATGATTTAAACTCAAATTTGAACGCTAAGGATGATATACTAGGAGTTAGGGAAGATACCTTGTTGGTTTGAAGCCTTAAATTGATGATTTTGTACCCTTAAACTTGATTTGAGGAGAGAGGTTAGAGAGAGAGTAGAGAGAGAGAGCAAAAGCTTCAAATGGAAGCTTAAACCTCTTTAAATAGGTTCCAAAATTTGGACACGGTGGAATTCTACCCGATACCGGCATTAAACGGGGCTTTTGGTCGCACCCGATTAAGTTTTCGTAATCCGACGGGATAGAATTTAGAAATTTTAAATTAATGATTTTGGGCCATTTTCATGAGTTTCTAGTGGATTTGAACACTCATAAGATTAAAATAAACTTATAAGTTTATATATCTTAACCCAAAAACGAGATCGGAACGAATCGATAAAGGCGAATTTTACAGGCGGAATGGATTTCGGCAATTGACAACTTCCAGTTGTTACAAAAATATCATTCTTGTGGTATGGTTGCCTTGAGATGAGATCAAGGGCCTACTTTATTGGAATATAGGTGGGTCAGGTGCTCGCTGGTGGTTTTAGGTGGGGAAGTGAAACGAGAGCGACAATTTTTTTGTCTCTGATGTATCCCGACTATGAAATGACGCATTTTGTATTTATGAATGATTCTCGCGATGAATTGATGGTTGGAGACTGCAAGCGAGGATTGTGGTAGTTTGTAACGCCCACATATTCAGGCTAGTCAATTTAGAGAAAACAAGCATCAAAAATGACTTTTTGATAGAAGATTAGATAGAATGAATAATATTAACCAATTTATAGTATATATAACAAGGGTTCCGTACATATAAAGAACGCTGAAATCCGAGTTGTAACGAAGAAGTTATGACCGTCGAAGTTTTACGACTAAATCGGCACGGCACCATGTAACGTAAAAAGTGAATTTCTGAAATTACTTTTTAGCCTTAGATATATAAAAGCAATTCTTAGTATACGTTAAATCGAGAGTGTGCATAAAAAGAACATCCAAATCTGACTTCGTAGGAGGAAGTTATGATTTTCTATGATTTGTCATAACAATGCACAGCCCAAAAATCGAATTTTAGATCGATCGATTTTTAGCCGAAACAACCTTAGTGAGAATTGAAGATCTCATTAATAGGAGTTCACTGATAAAAACACAGTAAAAAATGGAGTCCATATGTAGAAGTTATGAATTTTATACGTTCGTTAACAATCTAATCTTCTCATACTGTTAAATTTAAAATTGATCAAGGATTAGCCACTGGAGTCAAGAGGAGAGTTGTAGATCATATCAATACCTACGTTTGGATATAAATAACGTCAAAAAAGAAGCTCGTATTCAAAAGTTACGGATTTTAGAAGATAATTAGTTTTTGGAATAACCAGGATGCAGCACGTGGCGCGATCTGAGCCACTACTTCCTCACCACGGCTTGGAACCAGATGATGACACATGGCCACGAACGCCCAATGTTCAGCAAGGGGAATGCCCTACGTTCGAACCAGACTCAGCTAAATAGAGGCATAAATCACCCCAAAAACTCCCACCATTCCCATTCTTTCTCTCTCAAACACCCCTAGGTTCCTAGCCAAATTCCTGGTAAGTGAGTTATGCCTACTCTACTTTAACTATAGCTTATGTTTAAGTTCAATATCGTTATAATGAACTTATAAACAATAAATATATTATAAAATACAATATACAAAGTGTTATTATAATATCTTTTAACTACTCGCGGTACTGGGAATTTGGTTTGAAGGGCTGCATAGGATTGTTTGATTTCAGAAGTACTATAATGCCAAAAATGGTCCTGCCCTCCGGTGTTTCATGTATGACCCCCGTCTGTACATAGTGGTTGAAAAGTATTGTTTAACACTTATAAAACAACAATGCTCATAGACCTTGAGCTAATTAGTCATAATAAATATTAGACTAAAACTTAGCAATAATAATGATAGGTTTCACCGAAGGAAAAGACGATTGTTAGAAGCGAAGTGTTGTCCGAGTTTCGAGTCATCACTTTAACAAGTGAGTGCATAGTTACTTTCATCTTACACATAGATATGAAGTATTTAATATAAATTAAGTGCTATGTGTGCATATTATCTGTGTTCTTGATATCTATGCTGAATGAACAAAATATACATGTTTTATTCGATTTAAACTGTATACATATTTTATATCTATAATTAAGATGGGTAAAGATGGGTAGATTAAAGATGAGATGAGATGAGAGATGAAAGATAAGATGAATGATGAGAGATGAAAGATGATATAGATGATGAGAGGTGAAAGGTGATGAGAAGCGATGAACCAAGTGATGGACCAGTCATCTAGCAGAGTATAGATAACAACCACAGACTATTCTAGACAATCCAATGGAACACTAGCAGGCTCGCAACCTATAGATGTTTTTGAACTACGTGTTCACTAGGTATTTTTGAACTACGTGGTCACCAGATGTACTCTAAAAATCCTTGCAGCAACGCCTAATGGATAATATTGGCAGTTGTGCCTAACCTTTGAACTGCGTGTTCACCAGATGTACCCTGAAAGACCCTGGCAGCTATGGACTTAGTTCCTAACAGATAACATCGGCGACTATGGACTTAGTGCCTGTTTGATAAACCATGGCAGCGATGGACTTGGTTCCTACTCCTTAAGACAATCCTTAGGAATAAATATTAAGGAATAGATGACTCTTAGGGGAGATACTTAAGAATAAGGAAGATAATGGGGATGGGTAATTAGGTTAATTATTTGATGATTAAACATAATAACTTTATTATGGTAGGTTGAAAACCCTATGTACTCACCAGGTTTCCCAACCTGACCCACTCTGTTTATTTGTATCACAGGTATCAGTACGAAGCTACATTACACTGAGAGATTAAAGGAGATATAAATCACTAGTGTAAATGAATGTAAGGTCTGTTTATGCTTATATTTCTTTGGAAATGATTTTATAATATATTTATCATGTTTTCTGGGAACGAATTCTGTAATATTATTCTTTAAAATGAATACTCTTATTTTCAAATAATCATAAATAAAATTTTTAAAATGACCATGAATTTGGGGATGTCACATAGTCCATTTATTTCTAGATAGGAAGTTGGTGGTATGAATGGATTGTCGAAATTATTGCTTGTGCAACTGCATGAAGTTCATGAAGTTAGAGGCATTCATGATTTGGGAGTTCACAAGGTCTCCATCTAAGGTTTGGAATCTCTTTAAGTTTTCTTGGTCTTTATCTGTAAGATCATCTTGCATTGTGTTATACATCCCAAAGGTCAGGGATGCTATATATATGGGTGAGTCGGGCTAAGTTTTGGTCTGTTTACAATGTCAGTTGATGGTAGTTCGAACCTTAAGTAGGGAAGATTTGGGTATTCTGCTTAGAGGATCAACGATCTGTTCAAGTTATGGTTCCAAAAGAATAGGTCATAGGTATTTGCAGTTCGAGTATGAGAAACTTTGGTTCAAGATTTGGTCAAGACGGGGTTGCATAGCAAAATGTAATCAGATGTACCTTGTGACGCCCGGATCTTTAGGTACATTGTTCATAATCAAACTGTCGTTTTGGGGATTACCACAACGTGGTGGAGGATCCACCACAACGTTTGGGGGGGGAGGGGTGAAAGTGGGTCGCGTGTTCATTCAAGTCACCACAGCATGGTGGTGGCTGGCATGCAAACCCTATTTTTCCGGGTTTGCTCCCTAATTAAAGGAATGAGAAGACTAGGTTTTGCTCATCCTCAGCCTCTATCAGTTCCCTCCAGCCCCAAAGAAAACCTAATCACTTTCTTCCTTCATTAAGCTAGTTTAGGTAATCCTTAAAGCTAAAGGAGGAAGAAGGAAGAAGCAAAGATTAAACAAGTAAGTCTCCATTCTTCACCCTAGACTCTTCTAGATCTTTGTAAGTGTCCAAAACTCGATTTTTTTCATGCTAGATTGCTAAATCTTGAGTTTTGACCCATAAACTCCTTGTTCTTGTTTTTTGGAATGGTGATGTCTCAAAAAGTTTGCAACATTATGAATCTCTTGAATTTTGACCCATAAACTCCTTGGTTGGATTTTCAAGCCATGCATGAGATTTAGACGATAAAACCCTTATTTTGACCCTATATGGGTTCAAGACATGCATTGGACATGAATGTCTATAAAGCACCAACTATTAGGTTAGTTTTGGTGCTAGAATCACTTCTGGATAGGATGGATCTCAGACCTTATGGAATAAGTGGTAACTGGTTGAGTTCTTGCATTATTAAGCCTTTTCAGGACCTTTGGATGGTTGTAATGGATAAAGTTAGAAACTTTGTCCTTCAAGATCACATTTTGGACCAGATCTGAGCTTTGGGGTTCTTGGAATCGAAGAATACAACTTAATGCATTAAGTTGTTGGAACCTCGGCAACCGCAGCATAGTCCTAGGTCACCACAGCGTGGCGGCTGGGATTTTCCCGCATGTTTGGTCGTATGCAAACCACAATGTGGACAAGGAAGATCATGCCGTGGCGGTCGGCTGAAGTCAACATTGACTGTTGACATGGACAATTGACTTTGAGGATTGACTTTTGAGTTGTGGTTTTTTTTATTTGTTAATGTCTTAGTAGATAGATTAAAGTCTTGCCTTGCGTGATTATCTAGGAGGCATTTAGAACCTATTGTGGGATTTTGAGAGCTTGTTGACTTTTGAGTAGTTTTATGAGGTGAGTTTCCTTCACTACACTCGTGGGTCGAAGGCACCAATGTTGGCCCACTGAATTATGTTTAGAGGTTGGTAGATGTCTTTGTGATAATTTCCTGATATGCTTGTATATGCTTGATATCCATTAGTATTCCAGATACATAGCTGCAATCCATTCAAAACATTAAAAAGTAAATAAATAAATAAATAAATAAATAAATCCAGTATTATTTTAGACTGTATGTTATCTAACAAACACGAAAATATCTCCAAGAAAATAGAGATTTGAACTCTAATTTTAATCACCACTTACGTGAGCATCAGCTCCAGATGAAACGAGTGCACGTAAATTCTGTGAAAAAGAAAGTCCTATAATTTGTTTCTGGTGACCTTTCAGCTTCATTTTGACCTATTAAACCGTCAAGGTTAATAATGTAAGACAATAACCAGATTAGAAGTTGTGAAGGTTGCCACTATGCACACACTCTTTTAACTAAAATCAAGAACAATTACCTCATCAACTCTAACATTGTAAATTTGAATGGTGGAATCCTCCATTCCTATAGAAATGATATTGTTGTCTTGAGGATGAAAAGCCAAGTATGTCGCAACAGGTGGTGGGGGAATGAAAGTTGTCATGACCTACAGTCAGTTTAACCACCTCAGTATCACAAAAAGACTCATAAGCTTCACTCGTAGTTGAAATGTATGTTTATTTCTCAGTTGCTTCTTAATTTTAATACCAAAACTTATTAATAAGTAATATTTTGAGTCCAATTGATAACTTGTATGATGTTGCAGTGAATGAACTGGAGTTTCCATTTCCACTTTTCCTAGACTTGCTGGTAAAGAGCTTACTTCAGATGCATACATGAACATGAAAACAATTGCATTATGTACCATTTGGCTCACTTAAGGTGAATCTCTCACAAAGTTCTAGAGCAACAATACATTATGTACCTTCAACTGAGAATGAAACATGGTTCTCATGTACTAAATTTCCTCTTGAGCTGCTATTGTGTCCATCATCACCCAACATATCAACGACAGACAACTCTAGAAGAAGAACAAGGAAATGTAGAACCCAAAACTTATTAGATGAAAATATGAGCTTTCTATAAGGTAAAGGGTCTAAAACATAATAGTTGCAATAACCACTTAGTGTTAAAAGTCCATTTATGACATTGGCTTTAAACAGAAAGAAAAGTTGCTAAAAGAGAAATGTTATCTTCGGTATTTTCTACTTACTGTGGTCTGTAGTCATCTTCATTGGATCTTTCTCATTGTTCCCTTTTGAAAAATACAAAGCAATCAATTTGTAGCACCAATTTTACCTTGAACCTTCAATTTATGATCTTCAACGTGTGAATGGTTCAAAAGCGCTAGTTAGAAATTATGAGGATATGGCAGAAATTGAACTTCGACATGGGAATGAGGGAGAAAACAAACTCCAATATGGGTCTCATTTTGAAAAATAGATTCGTTGGAATGTTGGAGAAATCAAACCATGTTTTAGGGAGATGTTTTTTAGCCAATAACCTAAATAGCGAAGAGTGAAAATGGCATTAGGATAAGTCGTACCATGTTTTAGGGGAGAAATCAAACTAGTTTCTTCCTTATATTGGGAGGACGAACCTGAAGAGATTGAGAAAAAAATCCCTAGTTGGATGATTTTATGACGAGGAGGATGGACGCGGGGAGGTGATCCTATGCTCACCAGAGAAGAAGTAAGCCCGAAGTGAGATCGTCGATTGTTGTAGAGGTCTGAGAGAACCGTTCGAGAATCAGAGAGTGTTTTGAATTTTCTTGCAAAAACCCAAGGAAGGAGTGAATGAAGGGAGATACAGAGGAGAGATTGAATAAGCGGGCACTTCAGAATTTTAGAATTTCAGAGGATTTCATTTTTCCCCTTTAAAAACATGTGTTTGATATAAAATATGTATAAAGTGACATTTCTAGAGGACACACATTTAAAATAAGTACCCTTCGTGTTTGTATTTTAATTTTGTTGCTCATTAATTTTAAGGCACGCAAAAATGCGTGTCCTTTATTCTTTGAATTTTGGAAAGCTGACATTATTTTTAGGACACACAAAAAACGTGTATCGTAAATCAGTGCATGTCATTAAAGGTTTGTTTCTAGTTGACATTCCCTTATTCCTTACATTCAAAGCACACGCTTCATTCATACCAACACTCATCGGAATAGTGACCAGGTCTTCCACACCTGTAATAGATCACTTCTCTCTTGCATTGCCCAACATGCTTCCTCTTGCATTTATTGCACCATTCGGCTTCATCACAACCCCTAGACTTCTTGTCGCTAGGGTCAGACCTTGAGATTTTATTTTTCTTATCGGACTTTGAGAGTCATTCTCCTTTGATTTTCTCACCAACTTCAGTCTTGTCGGCGGTTCTCTGCTTAATCATATCCTCCACAGACTTTGTCGCCCATACTACTGCTTCGAAGGTAGGTGCATGCTTAACCAACACAGTGTACTCCCAAGGTAGCCCTTTGGCATACCTATCGCTAGTTTGTCCGGAATAATGCGCAGAGCAAACTCCATCTTGGCGGTGAAGGCATTGGTCCATAGTCAAACTCCCCCTTTTTCAAGTTCAGGAATTGGTTCTCTAGTTCTAGTATGTTCTGATCTAACAATACTCTCGCTTGAAATGCACCAAGAACTCTGTCCATGTCGGTTGAAATGGCTCATTTGGGCTTATTATCTTTCCCAATGTATTCCACCAAAGAACAGCTGATCCATTAAACTGTATCACCGTGTAAGTGGTTTGCAACCTTCCTGTGCAACCACAGGTGATGAAAGTCTGATCCATCTATGAAATCCAGTCCATAACTCCCACCGGGTCTTCTTTTTCGGTGAAGGATGAGGGCTTGCAAGTCATGAAGCCCTTATACTTGCATTTGTTCCTAGCAGCTCCTTCATCCAGGTTGTTCCTCCTAAATACTTGAGGTTCTTCTTGACTCACGGTCTTGCTATAGTTCCCTTCCTCTGACTGACCTTCATTCAATTCGGGTTGCTCAACAGGCACCGTGGGTTCTCTTCCATTTTCCCAGATCAGCTGCCTCATTTCCTCTCTTTTCTCAGCTAACAGAGCTCTAAGCATTTCCATTGGGATAGGTTCAGCTACCGACATTGCTTCAGGCACACACTCAACTGCTCGGGGATCAGGCTGACGAATCTCGTTATCGTTTCCTAGTTTACTATGTGTCCTCACCATGACGTTCTATACACCAAAGCATACGTTCAGTGTATAGTTATGAGAATATAGATAGGGAAGATAGATGTATAAATCTCCTTATCACTCCAAAAAGTTATATGTCAGCTCTAATACCATAATTAAACATTTAGAAATCTAAATACATACAATTTCTAGATCCGGTCGGCAATAGACCATAGATCCAAACATCCTAAAGCATATAAGGGCATCCTATAGACTCCTAAGGCAGATTATAGCTATAGCATGTGTAAATCATTTAGCACATAGAAGAACATTAGGCATATATCCTAAAGTAAGCTAGTGCTCGTGTCTATTCAGGTGTACTACCTAAAATATACTAGACACTCATCTCACGATCATCGCTTAGCATTCTAAGTTTAAGTCTAGAAATAAATCCTTACTCCTAGTTCGCTTAAACTAATGCTCTGATACCAATTATGACATCCCCATTTTCATGGCCAGAAAAGACAAGTTTATGCTTATTTTAAAATTAGAGTTTTAATTTACAAATGTGGAATTTGTCCCATATAATATTCCTGAAGGAATGTTTTTCATTGATTTATTAAAAACTCAGGATGTCATCATCGATACAAGAAACATAAGCATAAACAAAGACTTACAATATCTTTTTTAGTCTCTCTGTGTAATGTATATTTGCATTGATACCAGTGATGCAAATTAACTGAGTGGGTCAGGTTGGGAAACCTGGTGAGATACATAGGGTTTTCTACCCACAATATTATAGTTTTTAATTATATAACCATCAACATTCAAATAACCCAATTACCCCATTTCCCATCACTCTCACTTACTAATCCTATTATGATGCTCTTGAGGGATCTTTCCTAAAGGATCCTTGTCAGCGGACAACTATAATTCTTAGGTGATTAGGCACGACGGTACGATAATACTCGTTGCAACACGACTGTACAATATTAGTACTTTTTGTATAATCATGACAGTACAAAGTACTTGGGTTTGGCACGGCAGTACAAAAATACTTGGGTTTAGCACGACAATATTAAAGTACTTGGGTTTAGCACGGCAGTACAAAAGTACTTGGGTTTAGCACGACAATACAAAGTACTTGAGATAGACACAGTAAGCACGACTTATTATCTCACATGGCCCTCTCTCTAACCTATCACAACAACTATTTCACACCATACTATTACAACCTCTCATTTATTATTTTGCACAACCCCTCACTGCCTAGCCATACTATTAAGTATGTTAAACATACCAATAAATCAAGTAGTAATCATATTTGTACAATTGCATTAAACACAACAAAGATAGCGCACATAACATTTAAGCATTTAGAATACTTATATATATATATATATATATATATATATATATATGTGTGTGTGTGTGTGTGTGTGTGTAAGTTTGAAAGTAACTATGCACTTACCTGTTAAAGTGATGACTCGAAATTCGGGCATATATTCGCTTCTAGTAACTAACCTTTCCATTGATGTGACCTAGTATCATTATCACTAAGTTTTAGTCTAATATTCTACGCGGCTAGAGGGAATCTAGACCTATCAATCATTCTAATGAATACTGATAGTTCTATCAAATAAGGATCAACCGGGCAGGACAGTCGGGAGGTAGGACCATTTCAACATATAGTCTTTTTGAAATCCAACAACCAAGCTGACGTAACCATTCTAGACACCTCTTGTAAATAGATTAATCAATATATGACTTGGAATCACTGAAAAATCTTAATTATAGCTTCATAACAACGAATATGACTATAATTATAAATTACGTGGGGGCAGAGTAAGTGTAGCTCACTTATAGATTATGGATGAGAACTAGGGTCCAAGTGGAAAAAACTCTGACTTAAGGTCTCCTACTCGAAGGCTAATACTCGAACGCATACTCCAGGGTGTCGCAGGGCTTCGCCTCAAGCTAGAAACGAAACAAAAATAGGTTTACAGGAGGGATAATCAAGAGAGAGTGGTTGTAAGAGTGTGTGGAATGAATGAGGGTTGTTGGCTATTTATAGGGCCAAAAAATGCTTATGTGCATCGCGCACTTCAAACACGTCGATCCATCGGTTAGCTGACACATGTCACTCGTCGGCTAGAGCAGCGTGGCTGACTTCGCGCGCAAGTTACGCACGTCGCACTGCGCGTGCCGATTTTCGGAATCTAGAAATTGCATATCTCCTTCATACGAACTCTGTTTTTGATGTTTTTAATATCCACAGAAAGCTCTCGACAAGATCTACAACTTTCCTTTAGACTATGTCGGCTAGTTTTGACTTCATTTTATTTACACAGGCTTAGGCTATATGAAATGCATATCTCTCACATTCGACGTCCGTTTTTCGATGGTTTTTATATTTTTGGAATCCTATTAACGAGACCTTCAATTATCGTTTAGATTGTTTTAGCCAAAAATCAATCGATCTAAAACTTGATTTCTGTGCGCACACTACTACGCTGAAATCTTAGAAAAACCATAACTTCCTCTATTGAAGTCAGATTCGAACGTTCCCTGTATGTACAAATTCGCTTTTTCCTAATACTACGAATTTCGTTTAGATCATTAGGGCTAATAAGTAACCTATCTCCAACTCACTATTTACGACATATACTATAACTCGGTTAAGATTATTTATCCTAAACAATCTCTTATTTAAAAGTCATTGTTATGGCTTATGATAACTTTATTTCCTAGCCCGAACTTACATGTGTTACATACAAAGAATAAAATTTATTCTTCTAAATTAAGCTCCTTGTGCTCCCATCTTCTCACGTACCACGTCTGCTACTTGAACCTGCAAAACATGAAACATCTCTACAACATCAGACAACAATGTCTGGTGAGTTATATTCTTTTCATTTTCATGTTTATCTACTCTTCTTCTAATCTTTCTGTCACAACTAGCATTTTGCTAGGAAATTCTATTCTCATTGTGAACATTCAACTATTGTAAGACTTGTACTCTAAGTAAATATTATACTCTATTCTCGTTCAAATACATCTCATACGTTCAAATAAGGGTTGGAAACCCTAGAAAACCCGATTCAAGTCTAATGTGTTCTAGAATTCTCTTGTTGGGCCTAATAGACCAATAAGTATCCAAGTTAATTACTTTGGGCCTAAAAACCCTAATTAGGTTCTAAATAGACCCACACTTGTAAAACTTTAGCATTTTGGGTCAGGATGGGCCATAAAGGATTTAATTAACCCTAATGGGCCATAAACCAATTTCTTTTACCAAATTGGGCCGCGAACCTTCTTAAAGGCCCAATGGGTCGAAAAATGCTTGGAGCTTCATAGAAATTCGAAGTAGACAAATAATGGGCCAAATCATTTCATTCTCATCTCTCTAGCCCAAATTTCGGCCCAAGATATATATATATATATATATATATATATATATATATATATATATATATATATGTATGTAAAAAAAAATCATGCTTATGACACCTCATGTTTGCATGGTGGATATCCATGCAAACATTACCTCAATCTTCTTATCCTCCCACTTCTTCTAATTTCGGCCAAACCCTTCATTCCCCACCATTTTCATTTCCTTAAAACACTCTCAAGAAATCTCTCAAAAGCTCCTCCTACCTCCTCTAAATTTTTGAGATTTTTGTGTGTATCAAGAGGTTCTTCATCAAGATCATCATCCTTGGTAAGTTGTCATCACACCAAAGTCATTGATTTCCATTCTTAAGCTAAGAAAACTCCTTTACATGGCTTCATTTCGTGATCATGCTTCCTAGGACCATCTAAGTTTTGAAACTTCTTTTATGGAAGCATTTAAAGCCGAAACCAACATCATCTCCTTCCATATCTTCTTCAAATTGAAAAACAACAACCCAAGGTGAGTTCATACCCCCTTGTTTTCTGTTTTTACTTGTTTTTGGGGGGAGAATACAAGTCTAATGTGTAGATCTATGTATATATGCATGATTATGTGTGTTTTCTTGAATCATTTGGTGATTATGTGTTGATTACTTCACTAATCTAAAAATATGTTAAGAAAACTGAAGTGTATCACTAGGATCTTCATAAAAACTTTGAGAAAAATATGTGTTATCACATATAATACATGTAAACTAGTAGATCTATGATTTATACACTTTAAATATCAAAAATGAGTGTTGTGTTCTAAGATCTATAAGTTAAACTCATAAAACAGCCCTTGACATAAAAGTTTTGGTCCAATCTCGGACTATTTTGACCCTCTTAATGGAAGTATTTTTCAAAACTGTTTTACATGGATAACGTTCAGGTTTGTAGCTTTAAAATGACTACTTTCACGTTTTCATATGATTTTTCTACAATTTTTGGCGAATTTTACAAAACTGCCTATCAGATTTGAAATAATTTCGCCTGTGAAGATGAGCAATTTCACACTAGTTTGAGGCCATCAAAAATTATGAGAAAAATTGTGAACAAAGTAGACAAAGTTTCCAACTTCCAGAATTTACGGATCCAAATTTCGACTTATGATAATTTTTCTACAAAATTTCCAACATCTAGGTCGGAAAAGCCCAAAACCAGAAAATGTGTATTTCCACAAAAATCAAGCCAAAAATGATATTTTGACAAAAATGGGTTTAAAATGTTATTTTTGCCACAAACTAGTCATCAACACAAGTTTTTAACAAAATGGAGACTAAAGTGTTATTATTACAAAAAATGGGCCTTGATTTTAAATTTTTGGCTTATTGGGCCAAGAACGTCATTTTTACAAAAAGTGGGCTTTTTATATCAACTTTGTAAATAATCAAGCTAAAATAAACAAAACAATAGCAAACGGGTTAAAAACGATATTCATATTCTTATTGGGCCTGGAAATAATATACATGTTTAGTGGGCCTTAGTGTCCTTTTACATGTATATTAGGCTTAGGATAGACATTCATATTCCTTTGAGCCTGGAAATAATAGACACGTGTAGTGGGCCTTAGTGGTCCACTTACTTGTTTATTGGGCCTGGGAATGAGTTTTATATGTGTCCTTTCTTTATGCGATTTTAGTGAATACTTGAACTAAAACCAACGATAAACTAACAAACGAATTAATATGATCATTTTCTAGGTTATTGGGCCTTAGTGGCCCATTTTGTTAAGTTTGATAGGTCCTGTATACTATTTATATGTTTATTGGGCCTTATTGACCCATTAACATGTGCGACGGACCTTGGATACTATTTGTGTGCTGTTTGGGCCTGTAAATACCTTACATGTGAAATGGGCCTTAGTTATCCTTTCATATATATATATTTCGGGCCCATGTTATATAATTTCATTCCAATTGGGGCCTTTAAATGATTTACATGCTTAGTGATGCCTTAGTGGTTCACTTACATGGTTCATTGGGTCTGGAATGAGATTATACCTTTCTTCGCGTAAATTCGATTAAAGATCTAGTGAGTTTTGTCGGTTGGCACCTATTAAGTGTACGATCGTAGCCTGTAGTTATAACCAGAGTCTCTTGGAGGGAGAGCGGGGATTTGTGTATAGATCTATACGGGGATGACACCCCACACCTGAGCTGTTCGCTACAGTTAGACTACCTCAGTCTAGGGTGACGAAAACCTTATAATCAAAAATCAAAACCAGCGTCCAACAACGCCAAGACAGGCGAAATTGTCATTATTTAGTACGGTTATGACGGCTCACTTAGAGGAATTAATGTTATGAAGTTTACGGAAGGCCTTTTCTCTTTTCTTTTGGATTACTCGGAAACATTCTCATACCGGTACTCAACCTCAGGGGTTGGTATGGTAGTTTTCTCTTTTACAGGCAACATCGGGTTGTTTGGGAACATTCTCTTTACATGCTCATTACATTTCCTATACATTCTTTTTACCCCTTTTAGTCAAATAAACAAAAACATACATGCATTAATACAAGATCTGACACAAACATACTAAACAATTTGCAGAATCGGATTTTCTGGTGGTTTCAAAATTATACAAATCATTTTCAAAAACATGCTTATGAACTCACCAACATTTTTATGTTGACCGTTTTCAAAATAACTTGTATTCTCAGGAAACCATTAAAGCAGGATGAACGAAACAAACTAATGGATATTGTGTTGTATTTTGCTTCGTCATACTCTTACTATTTTGGCATGTAATATTCAAACACAATACTCGATGTAAACAATGAACGTTGTTATATTACATGTGTGATGATGATGATGTTATGTTTCAATTATATTCACTGTAATGATATTTCAAGATGAAGTCACGCACAAGCCCCCGAACGTTTCCGCCGTCTGGTTCGGGGGTGTGACACTTTCTATCTTTCTTTACATGTTCTTTTTGTTATCTTCTTCTCATACTCTGCTATATTCTCATTCTTTCACATTATATTTATCTCTTCTATTATTTTCTCATACTTTCTCATCTCATCTAGTATGTTATATTCTTCACATACTCTTCTATTTAGATCTTATTTTCTTATCTCATACTCTTACTTAGCCTCTTATCAGGCTCATTTCATACTCTACTCATAATCTAGATTCTTATCTATCTTTACATCTTTCATACTCTTCTTCTTTTCCCATTTTCTACTCTTATCTCATATCTTTTCTTTTCTTATACTTTGTGCATGCCCTTCTCTTATTGTTACTCTACTCTTCGCATGTCTCTTACTCTTAGCATGCCTTCTCATACTCTTCTTACACTCCATCTCTATATTATCCTCTTCTCATGCCTTAACATTCTACTCTCCTATAGACACGACAATCCAATCTCGTATGATAGGTTCAAAGTCAAATCTCTCTAATTTTTGGATTCTTACAGCTGTTGTGGCTAGATTTGTTGATGTGGCCACTTAACCCGTCTAAAATAAGGTTCAATAATTAAAAAGACGGATCACTTCCAACTACAATGTTATTTTCCCTTGAATCTTCAAATGCTCAAACTCTCATTTTAAGTCTTCAATTCTTTGTTCACATTTAACAAAAAAATTTGAAGATGGTATGTACTCAAGAATATTCGGTCCGTACTCGATGCGAATACAATTCATTTTCTTTCGCGAATATAATCGTCCACCAACACAATCATTTTTTTATAAACTCTATAAAAGTTATTGATTATAGTGTGATATTTGCTTTTTATTTATTTTTTTGTCATTTTAGTCATTGACCTTACCTTATTGGATTTTATTCATTTAATAGGCTAAAACTTGATGTAAATCAATCTATTCTTAAGGAAACAAATTGAATTGCTAGTTTTAGGTGTTTACGAGGTGGTTTAGAATGGTTGGTTACCTTGATGAAAATTTAGCGACGGAGGATTTGTCTAGTTAGGGTTATGCACGTGGTTCACCATCGCCGTCGTGTCACACTCCTGAATCAGTAAGGTCGGTTGATTTTTTAACTAATCCCCCAAAACCCCTCCAATCTTCCTCTTTCCTTCTCCACCGCCACCGCCTCCACCATTTCCGCCTCCTCCTCCAAGCTTTCCATATATTTCTTTCCATCTCACTGATCTCCGCCGCTGTTTACTAAACTTCGAGATTTGGGAAGATGAACATTTATAGAGGAATTTCTCGTATGTCGAGAATAACGAGCTGTTACAACCGTTGTCGATGGTTGCACAACTCTTCTCCGCATCACCAATTGTCTCACTCCAGTCCCTTCAAGTCTCCCATGGAGCCCTTTGAAAAGGTAAACCCTTTCACGAACGTTCGCTTTTCCTATTTTTGAAACCATAACGAATTGGTAGCTATCGTTGTGAAACTGTTGTAAATTTGCGAATCACTCTTCAATCTTAGCTTTTTCTCCCTCGATCGAAAAAGTTCCATGACCATTGACCTGTTCAATTTTGAGAAAACGATATCGATTTGTAAACATTATTCCCCCTTCCTCACATCAAAATTCCAAAATACGAAATGTTTCTATGGTATTGTATTGATTTAGGTATCAAGGTTCCTTTACTTTGCTTTTACGCAAGGGAATTCAGCTATTGGCCATATTTGGAACAATTTCACAACTCAAGCTTTCCAATTTTCGTGGGACAAAGATCATTTTTTTTGGAATTTGGAAATTAGTAAGCTTGAGATAACTTGTAGCTCAAGTTTTGCAAAAGCGATTACGTTTTTATCATATTCAATTTATCACAGCAACATGTAAAAGATTTCTAAAAGAGTATAAAGATCACTAAGTATATCTTATTTTGGTGCTTCTAGTTCTTATCTCATGGTTTTTATGTAAATCTTGTTATTGTTTTGGGTAATTAGTAGGTTTTGGGTTGCAGAGTAATCTACCCCTGGATTTCACGCCCCTTTAGTTCTGGTGGACCTCAACCCCAATATGATAGATCTTCAGTTGAGGTAAGTGAATGCAAGATCTTGATATTTACTAATTTGCCCTTGTTTATTTATCTTTTTCTTTTTATTCAGGATCAAGTGGATCCGTTTTCTCTAGTTGCTGATGAACTATCAATTGTAGCTAATAGGCTGCGATCAATGGTGGTTGCTGAGGTATATCTTTAATAACTACTTTCTTTCGACATTATTTCCTCAAAGGGTATATTTGTAATTAAACAAATTATACAGGTGCCAAAGCTTGCTTCAGCAGCCGAGTACTTCTTTAAAATGGGAGTTGAAGGGAAGAGGTTTCGACCCACTGTAAGTTCATTTTTATTTCTTTGATTATTGATATCATATTATCATGTTATTGTTGTAAAATATTGAATTTTTTTTTCAGGTTATTTTATTAATGGCAACAGCTTTAAATGTTCAAATTTCTAAACCAGCATCAGAAGGGGTTGTGGATATGTTCTCAACCGAGTTGAGGTTGAGACAACAATCGATTGCTGAAATCACAGAGATGATTCATGTTAGGTTTTTTTTTGAATATTGGTTTTAATATTTCTTTTTACAATTGTATTTTATTAGAAAGAAAAAATAAATTTTTTTTTTAAATCTCAGGTTGCTAGTCTCCTTCATGATGATGTTTTGGATGATGCTGATACAAGACGTGGGATTGGTTCTCTTAACTTTGTAATGGGAAATAAGGTGTTATATCTTTTTCAGAAAAATAATAATAATAAACAAGGGCAAATTAGTAAATATGAAACACTCGTATATTTGACTAATGAAACACTCGATGCAGCTTGCAGTATTGGCTGGAGATTTCTTGCTTTCTAGAGCTTGTATAACCCTCGCCTCTTTAAAAAACACAGAGGTATTCATAATCCACTATTCCACTCCATTAATATCTTTATTTTTATTTTTATTTAATTTTTAATAGTCTCTCATTATATTCTGCTATTTTTATTTTTAAAAAAATTGTACAGGTTGTATCACTAATAGCAACAGCTGTGGAGCATCTTGTGACAGGTGAAACAATGCAAATGAGCACGTCAGCAGAGCAGCGTAGTAGGTATTATATATATAGCATCTTACTTTTGTTTCGTTTCTTCCAAAAATACCCCTACAAAGCTTCTTGTGACTCGTTAACAAATTCTGTTGCAATATTTTTTTGTGTTGCAGCATGGATTATTATTTGCAGAAGACGTATTACAAGACTGCATCTTTAATATCAAACAGCTGCAAATCCATTGCACTTCTTACTGGCCAAACTACTGAGGTTGCCATGCTGGCATATGAATATGGGAAAAATCTTGTAAGTATGATACTCGGTAACTCAGAGTCTCAGACTTATCTTTGTTTCGGTACACAATACACAGTAACTCAAACACAATACACAGTAACACACTAACGCAGACTTAGCATTGTTTCAATACACAACACACATTACACAGGAACTCGTGACTTATCTTTGTTTTAGTACACAATTACTCAGACTTAGCATGGTTTCATTACACAGTAACTCAGACTTAGCTTTGTTTCGGTACACAATAACCGAGACTTATCTTTGTTTCAGTAACTCGGACACGGTACACAATACACAGTAACGCACTAACGCAGACTTAACATTGTTTCAGTACACATCACACAGTAACTCATGACTTATCTTTGTTTTAGTACACAGTTACTCAGACTTAGCATTGTTTCATTACACAGTAACTCTGACTTATCTTTGTTCCGGTACACAGTTACAATACATATTACGTAGTAACTCAGACTTAGCATTGTTTCAGCATGTAGTAACTCTTAACTTATCTTTGTTTTAGTAAAGAGTTGCAATACACAATACACAATACACAGTACATGGTATGCAGTAACTCTGACTTATCTTTGTTTTTTTTGTTTATTTGCAGGGTTTGGCATTCCAATTAATTGATGATGTACTTGATTTCACTGGCACATCATCATCTCTAGGGAAGGGTGCATTATCTGACATTCACCATGTAATAATTTTACATTTCTTATTGCATGATTTGTTGTAGATTGTGTTTGAGGTTACTTTCTGATAATCTTGTTTTTTTTTTTTTCTAGGGAATTGTGACAGCTCCAATATTATATGCAATGGAGGAGTTTCCCGAACTACGGACAGTTGTCGACAGGGGATTGGACGACCCTGCCAACGTGAATCTTGTAAGCTTCTTTCACTACTTTTGATTGATTTGTGTATAATACTAATACTAATACTAATACTAATACTAATACTAATACAGGCTTTGGAGTATCTTGGAAAAAGTCATGGAATACAAAGAACAAGAGAACTAGCAGCAAAGCATGCCAGCCTGGCATCTGCTGCAATTGATTCATTGCCTGAAAATGATGACGAGGACGTTCAAAGATCTAGGCGGGCCCTTATAGAATTGACACACAGAGTTATCAATAGAACAAAGTGAAGAAAAGATCAAAGATAAATATATATATGGAAGATTTTGTTTTGTTGCAGTTGTAGTAGCTTTTTAAGCCACAGCTCAGTGGGTTTGTTGATTGTTCATTTTCTTGTTTAATAACGAGTCATTACTCAATAATGATTATTCACCACAAGCTTTCAAGAAAGATATATAATTGGGAAGGATGCAGTTTTATTTTATATCTTAGGTATCTTATTTTATATCAACATTTTACCTTAGCAGAGACCACTTATAAATTAATATATATATATATATATATATATATATATATATATATATATATATATATATATATATATATATATATATATTACTTTCTAAAGTTATTGTAAATATCGTAAAATGCTAACATATTTTAGTAGGCAAATAATGGTTTATATTGAAAACAATAGTATATATTTTAATGTGAAATTTCCTTGATGAGGTTGATGGGAAGCAAAAATAGTATATATTTTAACGTGGGTTAATGTTGTAAACAACCTCAAGTGATGTCTAACATTAAAAATAATAATAATAATAATAATAATAATAATAAAATTGAACCGAAGATGCACAGTTTTCTCCGTTGAAGCAAAAGTTGATTGTAGGGAAATGTTTGGTGTAAAGACTTATCCCATTGCAACAATCTTTCCAAAAAAATGTAATCAAATACAATCGATACAAATTAAATATTTAAATTTACATTACCCTTAAAAGCCAAGGATCTAATTAGAATACACTAATTCCACTCACCAAAATACATGATTCCAAGTTGTGTACGTACTAATTCCACTCACCAAAATTCAATCTTAAAACTGTTGTCCGGATCAAACCTTTTGAATCCACTTTTCTTTTTCATGCCAAAGATGGGCACATAGGTCGACCAAAATAAATCTACAATGAGGGGGAATTGTAGAGTAACAAAAGATGAAATCGGGATCAAAGCTAATGCGCATATTGGAGCAAGCATCCATGGTTTCTTATCACAAAAGACAAGAAACAATGTTGCACTAAAGGCTACCATCATAGCAGTTGTCGAGAGCAATAAAGCGCAAAGACCAATAAGCAATCGTCTCGGAAGACTGACTAAAAAATCTTTTTCAGAAAAACGTGCAGTTAGGATCGATAAGAACACTAGTAATGCTGTACTAGATGTAAATAGTGAGATTGCATCTGATATAGCAAAAATAGTGAACGCGATATCACTTCTAAACAAAGGAGTCCCTGTTTCCTGATGGGTCCCACCGGGTACTGTAATTGCTGCTGCAAATACAATTGTGGTGATTAGTGCTGCGGTGATGCTGCATGATTCGGATGTGGTTTTCATCCACTTTTCTCCTTCTTTCAACAAGTTTTCATGTTCCCTTGTGAACACCATATCTGGTGTCTCTTTAAAAATGTTCTCTTGAGTGATGTATGTAGGAAACACAAGTTTCTTCACCTCCTGAAATATTAGGTTAACTTGTTTATACTGTTATACAAAATTCTTTTACATTATGATTTTATGAATTATTTACCTCTTGCCATTGAAGTTCTCGTTGTAGTTGTAATGCTGCACCTGTTCTACGATTAAGTTCATATGAAGGAGCCAACTTTCCAGCCAAATGCAAGATATTGTTCTTAGAAGAATCAACAATTGTTCTATAAAGATTCTTACGTTCCCCAATGTCATAGATAAGGTTGTAGATTTCAACTGAACGATGTATAACTGCTAACTGAATGATGTCATATCCACTTTTATTTGTACATTGAATTGCTTCAGGTGATCTAGACAAAATCTCATGAACAACCTTATAAGTATTTTGACATGCGGCTTCAAGAATTGGTCGAGTGTAATAGGGATGATGTGTTCCAGAGTATCCTAACTTGTCTATTTCATCACATACCAATCTTAGAACCTTTTCTCCTTCTTCACATTCTTTCTTCTTTTTCTCAATATGCTTTATGGGTGCAACTACAAGATAGAAAATTATCGATTAAAAGAAGGGAAAATGACTTAAAAGGCCAACGAAGTTTCCAAACCATTCAAAAAAACCCAATCATGTTTTGTCTAATCAAAAAAACCCAACGAACTTAAAATTTTGTCTAAAAAGTCCAACAAAGTTTCAAACCGTTCAAAAAATCCCAATTTTGTTTTGTTTAAGTTCGTTGGATTTTTTTTGAACAGTCAAAACATGATTGGAGTTTTTTAAACGTTTTGGAAACTTTGTTGGCCTAACAAATCATTTTTCCGATACGGTAATAAGTCACGTCATCTGTTTCTCTTATTTGACTTCAGGAAAGTATAACTTAGTTGGGCTTTTTAGAAAATATATTAAGTTTGTTGGGTTTTTTTGAACAGACAAAACATGATTGGGGTTTTTTGAACGGTTTGAAAACTTCATTGGGCTTTTAAGTCATTTTCCCTTAAAAGAACAACAATAAATGTTATGTTAGAAATTAAATCTCATGCATGAACCCATATGTGGCTCTTACTGAGTTTCGATGCAGCCTTCCACAAGGCGAAATAGGGCAGAAGGAATAAGAAACAGACCATCAATAAAAGGAGGTATATGGAGTAATAGAAGAATGTAGGTATAGCTAGTGTAACTGCATATGCATAAAAAATTATTAGTAGAATAAAATTCACTTCGATTTAAAACATAAATAAAATTGCTCACCAATTATGAGTACTTCGAGTATGAAATCTTCTGATGGATCACCCCATATAGATTCGTATATCATCATCGGGATGGCAAGAACCGCAGACCCAACCATTACAGCTGCATAACGTGTTGTTTGCCAAAGATTGCTCAAAGCTAAATAGAAAAATGCCAATCAATCACCTTATCACCCTTAAAATAAAAGCAGAAATAAATAATAGTAAAATAAAAAATGAAACCACTTCTATCATATTAGAAACTTACAAGGATAGATAAGTGTTTCTCCATAGTCCAACCCACTTGGAAAGGTTTTAGCCATAGCCATAAGTACACCGTCATTTATCACAGCAAATTTAGGAAAATTTTCAATCAACTCTGATGCTAAATCTGTAAGCATAAACAAAAAAAAAAAAATGAAAATTTTGAGCATCTAGAACCCCCACTCTGTTTTTGGTATTACACTTTAGTGTAAAATAGAGTAAAAGGTTCGACCCAACTCTATTTTACACTCTATAAATAGAGAAACGTATAGTGACACTCTAAAATTGGAGTGTAAACTACACAATCTCATACACACTCTATTTTTAAAGTGTAAAACAAAATTTAGAGAAAGACTGGAGTTAAACCACTCTAAAACTCTATTTTACACTTTAAAAATAGAGAAATTAATAGTTACACTCTAAATTTCGAGTGTAAACTATACAATCTTCCACACATTCTATTTTTAAAGTGTAAAACAGAATTTAGAGTGTGGTTAGAAATGACCACTCTAAACTCTAATTTACACTCTAAAAATAGAAGGTGGTTGGAGATACTCTAATATGATATGTTAACTTGGCTACTTACTGTATTCCTTTGCAAAAATAGCATTAACAAGAAGGTCAACGCCTACTTCAACACCAGGATCAGGGTGAGCAGTGTCCCCTAAATGAAAAGATGCTGACTTGGTCTTTCCACCATCATCCATAGCTTTAAACAAATATCCAATGGTATCAAGATGCATATGTTCATAAGCTTTATGCAAAGCTTCATCCCCTTTATGATCTTTAATTCGTAACAACTCTTTATTCTTTTCAAGCAAAAGACGCGCTGCATATCTATTCCCAACAATTGCAGCGATATGAAGGGGTGTACTTCCATCTGAACTTCTCTTTTCAAGTACATCTTCATCACTTACATACGAAAGTAATCTTCTCACAAAATACGTATCACCTATTGCAACCCCTACGTGAATTATTGTGCTTCCGTCATTCTTGATTGCCACTCTCACTGCATCTTTATTCTTTTCCAGTATAGGTTCTGCTCGATGCCAATACCCCTTCACAACAGCTTTATTCAACTCCTCGATTTCTTCCTTGCTTAAGCCTTCTGTTTTGGTTTCTTTCTCGCTATCGTTTGTTTCTACATCTATCGTCATTGTGTCTTTCACATTTGGTTTTGCTTCTGTTGCAACCCTATGATCTATGTCTTCGGTTTTCGTTTTTTCTTCTAGTTTTGTTGGGGTTTTATCTGAACACAGGGATTATATTATATATATACATAGAGCTCCAAAAAATAGTTAGAAGAATAAGTAGCACATACCTTGTTGAGTTGTATCATAGAAGGATTTCAGTTTATCCCAAACATCTTTGGCTGAAATGAGGTCAATTACAGCACCAAGTACATTTTGGCTAACTGAACCGAAGATCCAACCTTTAAGAAGACTGTCGTATTGGTCGATAATCTCATTGGTTGAAGCTCTGGGACCCACAATTGAGTCATCAACGAGGCCAACCATATTGTGGCTCTTCATGAGACAAAGCATCTGTGTTTTCCAAATATGGTAGTTGCGTTCACTCGAAAGCTTCACAGAGACAAAGTTGGAAACGTTGGCGATTGATGCGTACAAGTAGTTATGGTCTTGTATTTGTTCTGAAGCATAAGGAGGAGAAGGGAGAGGAAGAGGGTTTGATGAGGTTGCCATTTGAACAGAGTAAAGATAGATTGATGGAGAATTGGTAGGTTTAAAGGTAGATGTAGTTCAAGTTTTATAAGAGCATCGAGTGTTTCCGAATTCAATGAATGGGATAAACAAGTCGAAGACATGGGGATAAAAGGGTCCTTGCCATTATTGCTGATTTGCCATGTTCCAAGTTGATAAACCAGCTTCATGCGCCGCCGGCGCCCACGAATTTTGAAACATAGTTGATTTCAAATTTTCATTTATCACCCTTGGTTTTACGGAATGTGTCTTATTACGACCTTTCGAAAAAAATTTCTTCTATGCCCTTCTGAAATACTAATTAATTATATATGAAAATGTGTATTAGTTGTCACGAATTATATTATTTGAGTGTTGGGGTAATAGGATTGAAATGATATCAGTTTTGAATTTGAGTATTATTAATATAATATTTATTAATAAAGTTATAAATAAAAAGAATATATTTTGATATTGAAAGAAAGGTTAAAATTGGAGGGTGATATATGTATATTTTTGAAAATTTTATTATTTTGATTTTTGTTTTTGTTTGGACCTTGAGACACCGATTTGGTATATGGAGTACATTTGAACTCGACTGAACTGCACTAATAATATTATCTGTCCAACTAATAATATTATCTGTCCAACATTTGGTTTGATTGATCATCTTCAACCTATTTTCATTTTTTTTTCTTATAAATAAAGTAAAAAATGTTTCATCTCCAACTCTACTTTATTTTCTATTTCATTTTTACCTCAAAAAATATATTTTTTGAATATTCCATTTTTATAATTTATATATATTGTCAAATACACTCATCTACTAATTAAACTCTATATTTATAATTAATTAATATAAATTAGTATACAACATGATATTATAAATACTAAATATTGCATTTAAATTATAATTAGTAGAGTTGGAGAAAAATAAGAAAAGAAATAAAGCATGGGGTTAGTTGGAGATGCCCAACACAATATATTAAACTTATAGATAAATCTACGCCTCTTTTATCTTCTTCGACCATAAGATTTCCTTGCTCGGCCTCTCAAACAACCAAATATCCGAATATAATATTATAATGATTAGAATTTTAATATCCGATTTAAAGCAATCAGTTATACAATTGTAATTTTCACCAATCACTTCCAAGTCCAAATTGGTGTAAATTGCAAAATATTACATTTATTATATATAAATTAGCTTACAACGTTTCTTTTCCTGTCAAACGTTAGAAATAAAAAAAAAGAAAAACATGGTAAAAAACTTCTTGAACAGAATCGATCACGTCGTGGTGCTGCTGTGATATTAATTCCAAAATATTATCTATCATACTTCTTAATATAAACTTATTAATGATATTAATTTCGATACTTCTTCATATAAAATTATTAATGATATTAATTTCGAATAATACTTGTGAATCGTTGTTATATGAATTGTTGATGGAGACTGTAACAACCGTAGATCCGGACTAATCAATTTAGAGACGATAAGCTTCAAAAATGACTTTTTTATGGAAGATTATTTAGAATGATTAATCTTAACTAAGTGATAGTACATGTTACAAGGATTTCGTACATATAAAGAACGCCGAAATCCGAGTTATAACGAAGAAGTTATGACATGTCAAAGTTTCGCGACAGAACCAGCGCGACACAGCGCGACGTAAATAGTGAACTTACGTTATAGCGATATTTGGCCTTAGCGATCTAAATGAAAGTCGTAGAATACGTTAAACCGAGAGCGTGCATAAAAAGAACGTCTAAATCTGACTTCGTATGAGGAAGTCATGATTTTTCGAAGTTTCAGCATTAGCAGTATGCAACCCGAAGTTCGAATATGAGATCGAGTGATTTCTAGCCGGAACGATCTAAACGAGAATCGAAGGTCTCATCGATTGTAGTCCAACGGTGAAAAGACAGACTAAAACGGACGCCAGATGAAGAAGTTACGAGTTTATAACAGAGTTTTTCTGTCCCGGCCTACTAAAAATAATATATAAATAATATAATAAAAATAAAATCAAAATTAGCTGATGAAGTCTAAATGAAAGTTGTAGATCTTGCTTTCTACCTATGCGTCGATATAAAGAACAACGAAACCAAAGTTTGTATGCGAAAATTATGAATTTCTGAAGTTCGGGGCGCGAAACCCCAAAACTGTCAGAGTTCACGACGTGAATACAGTGTTCACGATGTGAACTCATTATTTATGACTTTTGGAGCCAGACACAAGTTGTGATGACGCACCTGATGACTATTGAACTCACGACGTGAATATTTGAGATTCACGACGTGAATCAAGAAAAATGGCCCTATATATAGAATTCAAGGGGCAGCCGAGTTTGGTTGCTCAATCTCTTCTCTCCTACTCCCGATACCCTCTCTAAGCCTTATTTTAACCCCCAAAGCCTTGGTATCATCTCGAGACATGAAGCAAGTCTCGAAGCCCGAAGATCCCGAGAAGAAAAGAGTTTCCGAGCTGAAGCTCTGCCCGCGAGAAGCTGGTGTGCGAAGTGATCCCGGTTTCACCGAAGAAGTACTACTCTTAGAGCCGTAGTGTTGTCCGATCATCTTCTGATCAATTCAGTGTATAGTCCTTTTCATAAACACGATTTTAATACAAGTATTGTCTGAATGTATTAAGTATATGTTTGGTGTGAGTGTGTAGTTACTTTCTTCTAACACATAGATATGAAGTATTTCTATGAAATACGTGTTATGTGTTTATATATTGTTGTTTACTTGAGATGGATGTTGAATGAATGTTTTATACAGGTTTTTAAATAGTTTTAAAATGTATATGTAATTTATATCTACAAATATGTTGGGTAGAACATGGGTAGATGAAATAGTTGGTGTGTAATGAAATAATGTGATAAGAAATAGGTGAAGATATAATGGCGATGATAATTAGGTGATGATAGATAAGTAATGAATTATGAGTCCAAGCAATGTTGTGGCTACGTATTCATGCGATGATAGTCTAACCCTTATTATCAATTACGAGTCCATGTGATGTTGTGTCTGCGTATTCATACGTAGGAAACATACATAAAGTTAAAAAAAAAAAAAAAATGCCGAAACGTAGACAAATTCGAATTTAAACCGAAAAGTTTATAAAAAAACCTTGTATTTAACAAAAAAAATTAACGATAGAAAGTTCTAAATTAAAGTTGAAACATTGACCACTTTGAATTATATCGACAAATATATGAAAATAAGTCGAAACGTAGACAAACTCAAATATAATACATTTCTTAAAATTAACAAATGAAAATAACTGTATTTGACCCCTTAAAAAAATTGTCAAAACATAGACAAATTTGAATTTAAACCAAAAAGTTTATAAAAAACTATATAATTAAAAAAATTAACCAAAGAAAGTTCTAAATTAAAATCGAAACGTTGATCACCTTTAATAATACCGACACATATATAAAAATAAACACATAAAATTAGTTTTATAAGGTTAACGAATGAAAATTATTAATAAACCTCAAATTATATATAATATAAGGTTAAACACGAAAATTTTAAAAATAGAATGGTGAAGGTAGCATTTTTCAAAGTTCAAAATTAAATGTTGAAAGCAATATTTAAAAAAGCAAAATGATAGAAAAGTTACAATCTCGTAAATATAAAATATAGAAAAGTTACATAAATGATCCATATGATTTACCCATAGTCATAAACTCAGTCTCTACTACTTGAAAATATCAAAACACGCTTACACTAATAGATAAACAGTAACAACGTCAGTTAAAAGAGTCATCCATGTAAGTTTTGGAACCATATGAATCATGTTGGTCAAAAAAAATTAACACATACTCACTTTATGACTTTTGGCAAACCATAAAGACATTTTTATAATTTTGTCTAATTTTTTGTTTAATAGATATATACGAGACTATATTGACTTTGTAATTAATTTTTTAATCTATTTTTAAATATAAAAGTTAATCGTAAGACATAATTACGTGATTGGTCGTTGAAGTTTAAAAAAAGAAAATTAAGTAATTTAATCCATATAAAAAAAACTTTCTAAAAAATATGACTTTTTTTAGATAACTATACTAAACACATTCCCTCTCCATATTCACCCATTGTCATTTGCCCTTCATTTGTAGTTGGTTTACGTAGAAGCGAGTGACCGTGGAAGCGAGTGAATATGCACACCAAGTGTTTCATGAATTGGAAACTCATTGTCCGTGGTAAACAAGTGGTCAATCTCTCTTTTCTGTGAGCATTTTGGTGACCCTAAGTGCTTATGGGCTATACAACTTCTTCTTGCAGAAATAAATGTCCGTATTGAAATTGGTTTTTATCTTGAATGTAATCTTGAAGTTTTTGCTTATGTTAAGATTCAGCCAATTCTTTTCTTCATCCACGGGATTCATCTTGGATAGGATATTCGAATCTAGGCTTATTTTTTAGGGGGTAAAGATTTGTATAGAGTATTCGACTTTAGATCATGGAGGAAATAATAAAATACATGGGAAGCAAACTATTTTAATATAGGGGCAACACATCTCTCTCTCTCTCTCTCTCTCTCTCTCTCTCTCTCCAAGTATTATTATAATGTTGTAAGTTACTGTTTGAGATGTGATAAATTTGTGCTGTCATTCTATTAAATTGCTTTCCACTATGAAAATAATAGTTACCCAATTATTATAATCATGTCATCTTGCTGACCAACACTAATATATTGGTAAGTGGCAGTGGCTGAATGTATAATAATGTTTGTTTATATAAAGTGTTTTTTATAGAAAAAATAAAAACCATTTGAATGAGACTAAATAACACATTTTACCATGTGTTTAGCATTAAGCAGTTAAGTATTAAAAACAGCAATATTTATAAAGATTTATATAGAGTATTAGGCCTTAGATCATGGATGAAATAATAAAATACATGAGAAGCAACCTATTTTAATATAGGAGCAACACTTCTCTCTCTCTCTCTCTATTTCTCTCTATCTCTATCTCTCTCTCCAAATATTATTATAACGTTGTAAGTTACTGTTTGAAATGTTAAAATTTTCTATCGTCATTCTATTAAATTACTTTCCACTACGAAAATAACAGCTACCTGATTATTATAATCATGTCATATTGCCGACCGACACTGATATATTGGTAAAGTGATAGTGGCTGAATGGATAATAATA